AAGAAATGAATCTTAGAAAATACTAGTCCCACCCACCCGCCCTCTATTTTCTTGGGAAGTATGTCAGGGTGGGCGGGCGGGGCTAATTCTGTTCCTCTATCTAGTGGGAGTGGAAACTAATAGAATCTAGGATGTGAAAAAAAAGTAATAATCGTAAATTTTTTGTTACACTATTTGCTATTGGAAGGGGAAGAATGGTAGAAATTTTCGAAGAATCGAAGACGAAAATGACTCTTGGATGTCAAAATCTACGAGAAAATATGTAGCTTATTTTCAAAAATGGTTGAAAATAGTCGAACATGCCTAAAGTGCCAAAATCAGTCTTATATTATCAAATACTAGGCCTGCCCACCCACCCTCTAGTTTCTTACAGGAAATGTCATTTGCCAAAACCAGTCTTATTATTATTTTTTTTATAAAACACAAATTCGTGCCTGAGATTCTTTTAGAATCTTTCAAGAACGAACACCATGGGTTTGCAAGATTCTTTAAAAAATAAGATACCATAGATCAAACACGAGACGTAGATGCCTCCAAGAACCTTTTAGGCAATGGATTGGCTCCATTAACTTACTCTTAAAAATAAAAAACATCAAGGGTTGCCAAGACTCTTTTAATATAAATATGGATTAAACCTACTATCACAATAGCATATCTATAAGTTCTTTAAAAATGACGCATTTGAAAAAAAAAAACAAAAAAAAATAAAAAACAAAAATTTTGGAAATTTCATTTGTTCTTTTATAACAACCACTATAAGTTAAAATAAAGAAGAGTGCGACTATTAAGCACGTACCAAGCTGTCCCCTCAAAACAGAGAAAGCAACTAAAATTATCAATTAAGCTAGAATAGAGCAAATTTTCTGAAATTTTTGTAGTTAAGAAACCGTTGTTATGATTGTTCTTATCTTCTAGGGGAGCAATTGTTAAATATAGGTGGGCGCAACATTTCTGTAGTCTGAAATTTTCGAAAAAATGGGTTGAACTGTTCTTGATTTGACCAATAAAAAAACTGTGACATATAAGTCGGTCGAACCAGCGATCTTCGCCTTCGTAATTTAACAATGCTATTTGGATTTTTTTGCAAAAATTTAATGCTTAGGAAAATCAAGGCGGAGTCATAAAGCACAAGTATGGGATTATACATGATCGTTTTCCGGGTTGGAACCGTGTTAATAGAGTTTTTGGGCTCAACGTTTCGCACATGTTCGTAAGTGGCATCTTCACTTTTTCGCCTCTGGTATGATTTTACTACCTTTGTTTTTTTTGGTTGCGTCATGAAAATTCCAAAAACAACCTAATTTTTTCAAAACGCCAATGTTGCCGGAAAACTGAAAATAATAATAGTAATAATACCCAAACATCTGTATTCAATACCACAAGGCCCCACTTTGTCAATTTCCGTTGGACCCCCATGTCCTCAATCCGATACTGACAATGAGAATCGTTTAACTAGTAGACGCTGAACGACTAGCTGTCATTCTCATTCTTAATCCGAGTTATAACGCCAACTAGACAATTTTTGTTCACTTTTAAAATTTGGAAAAATCCAAGTAAAAACGAATCAGAATTTAATTTTGCTCCAAATTATTACGACATGACATTCCACATGGACACTTTAAATCATTTCAAACGTTAAAAACTAAAACTAACCTTTTTGACCCTTCGACCTGCTCATTGTTTCGAAAGATCCACCATCGATAAAATAATTAATTAACACGAAATTCATTAATTATTAATCGACATTCATAAAATAACTTCGAGACACTCTCCGAACAAAGAAATCACAAAACTACTGCAAAACGATCCCGATTGGATAAAAATGGCCACGTAGTTAAAAAATTAATCCCGTTATCATGACATCATCATGATGTCATGATTAACCAATCAGAGCGTTTTTCGAAACAGAGAAATGGACACATTTTTGGATTAACTTTTAATAAACAAAATCTGTTTTATACATATAACATACCTGGAAGAGTCCAAGGAGCGATTTTTCTGCACTTTCGACAGGAATAGTTAAGGATTTGTATCAATTTTGCGAAAATAATCACTCGTTCGAAATCAGCGCACCCACACGTCAAAAATTGAAACGCAGTGTTGCCACTTTGTGCAGTTATGTCCAAAAAGACAACGGAAAGATTACATTTATGTAATTAAATTCAAAAATGATAATTAAAAGTGTTTTGTGTTACGAATGCAGCATGTTTTGCTCATTTCCGAATATTAAATGTCACATTTGTTGGATTTTCAGTGCTACCAACATGAAATTTGCACGACAATAATTGTAAATTTATTAGATTCTTCAAAAAAAAAAAATCGCTTCACGCCTCAACAGGTTTATTATTGCCACATGTTTGACAATGTGACCAACATATCTGATTTTAGGGGTGCAGTGAAAGTTAATTATGTGGCTGTTATTTTTTTACGTGTATGAATATTAATAAAATATGCCAAATGGTTCATTGCCACATTGCTTCTTGTTGTCAAAACTAACATGGTTGACAGTGTCATTTAGTTAACATGAAAATTTTTGTTAAAATATCATAACCTAACTTTATTGGGGACTTAAGTGACTGCATAAGAAATTTTTCTAAACACTACTTGTTCTAGTAGCTACTTTTGACAGATAACCCAGAAGTTACTTTCGACGCCATTTTCCTTAAAAGGGCGCGAGTTACCTTTGAATGACAGTTCAAATTTGAATTTGATGCCATTGTTGTTTGTATGTAATAATTTTTGTAATTTTGAAAAAATAAAATACGATTAAAACACGCAAATGCCTTGTTGTATACCATCCTGTTTAAACAGTGATATGAATTTCACCTACCACGAGTTCCAACGCAGTAGAGGTTTTCTGCGTGGATGAAAAAGTATCACTCTTGGGAAAACTTTAAAGGTTTGCATTCTTTAACTATTAAAAAATATTATATTTTGCTCTTTCTTCTTAATATACGTAAAGCATTTAAAAAAATTTACGAAATATAAGCCCCGCCCACCCACCCCCTCTCAATTGTGACGATTTTTTTATTCATCGTCAACCGAGGGCGGAGCTTAGGTGCAAAAATCTCATTTCTCTACAAGAAATTACCATGTGAAATATGTGCGTAAAAGAGTAAAATTTTGCAAAAAAATATGGATTTTGCAATTAAACTCCGCCCCTCGGTCTAACAACGAATAAAAAAAAATCATTACAACTGAGACAGGGTGGGTGGGTGGGGCTTATATTTTGCCCCTTTTTCTCCATCTACGTAGTCTTCTTTTCACAACAAGAAACTTAAAAATGTTCAAAATTTTTGTAGGGAAATATGTATCTTGCATTTACGCTCCACCCTTTGGTCTGACGACGAATAAAAAATTCATCATAATTGAGATCGTGACTTTTTTTAGTTCCTTAATAGTTTTATTTGAAAAACACGATAGTGAAATATGTTTTTAGTGTCTTGTTGGGAAAAGAAGATTTCGTATATTAAGAAAAAATGTACAAAATATAAGCCCCGCCCACCCACCCACTCTCAATTGAGCCGATTTTTTTATTCATCGTCAGCGAAGGGCGAAGCTTAGCTGCAAAAACCTCATTTCTCTACAAGATACTGTCATGTGAAATGTTCTTGAAATAGTAAAATTTTTCAACGAAATACAGATTTTGCAATTAAACTCCGGGCTCGGTCTGATAACGAATAAAAAAAAATCATTACAACTGAGACAGGGTGGGTGGGTGGGGCTTATATTTTGCCCCTTCTTCTCGATATACGTAGTCTTCTTTTTATAACAAGAAACTTAAAATATCTTTAAAATTTTCGTAGGGAATTATGTATCTTGCAATTACGGTCCGCCCTTTGGACTGACAACGAATAAAAATTTATCATAATTGAGATCGGGACTTTTTTTAGTGACTCACAGTTTTATCTGAACACGGTAGTTAAATATGTTTTTCGTTTCTTGTTGGGAAAAGATTTCATGTATAAAAAAAATGTACAAAATATTAACCCGCTCCTCTCAATTGTGACGATTTTTTTCTGCATCGTCAGCGAAGGGCGGAGCTTAGCTGCAAAAATCTCATTTCTCTACAAGAAATTACCATGTGAAATATGTGCGTGAAAGAGTAAAATTTTGCAAAGAAATATGGATTTTGCAATTAAACTCCGCCGCTCGGTCTGACAACGAATAAAAAAAAATCATTACAACTGAGACAGGGTATTGGGTGGGGCCTATATTTTGCCCGTTCTTCTTAATATACGTAGTGTTCTTTTGAAAACAAGAAAGTTAAAACATGTTCATAATTTTTGTAAGGAAATATGTATTTTGCAATTACGCTCCGCCCCTTGGTCTGACAACGAATAAAATATTCATCATAATTGAAATCGGGACTTTTTTTTAGCTACAGTTTTATTTAAACAACACGATAATTAAATATGTTTTTTGTTTCTTGTTGGGAAAAGAATATTTCGTATATAAAAAAAAAAATGTACAAAATATAAGCCCCGCCCACCCACCCTTTCTCAAGTGTGATGATTTTTTTATTCATCGTCAGCCGAGGGCGCAGCTTAGCTGCAAAAACCTCATTTCTCTACAACAAATTATCATGTGAAATATGTTCCTGAAAGAGTAAAATTTTTCAAAGAAATACCGATTTTGCAATTAAACTCCGCCGCTCGGTCTGACAATGAATAAAAAAAATCCTTACAATCGAGAAAGAGTGGGTGGGGGCCTTATATTTTGCCCTTTCTTCTTAATATACGTAAAATATAAAAAAAAATGTACGAAATATAAACTTCACTAACAAACTAACACAGAACATCATAAACCAACAATTTCTTCTCTACAGTCAAATTGGTCAAATGTCAACGAGGGATAACTAGCACCCTCATCAAAATGTGTCCAAATTTTGTGTACTGCTAGCCCAAATTGTATTTGTCAATCACCATGTGAACCTAACCGGAACAAAGTTACTGACAGCTGCGGTACCAACCTTATGTATAATTAAGTAAATACACATATTACGAAAATATAGAATTTTTTATTTTAACAAAACGATACATGTACTATAAGGGTAACAACCAACATCAACTGACTCGATTTTTATGGTTAACTTTATAAAGTGACTGTAAAATATATCAACGAACTATTATGATACGAAAAATTTAAACAAACGAAAAGCTCTCAGCAGCTACAAAAAGAAAAGCTTTAGAACTTACGTCTGAAGTGTAAAATATAATAATATATAGGCAATATATAGTTAAGCTATAAAGTGGGCGTAGTTAACATCTTCAGCACTCTCTGAAAAGGCTTCAATTAAAGGCTCCACGTAGTTTCTGGGCATGAATAAACCTAAACAAATAATATTGTATGAAAGAATTGGTTTAGCATTTTGTCACTAGATTTAAGTTGGCAACATCAACATCAAAACAATGACAGAAGAATTCCCTAGATATTTCTTAATTCACCAACTACTCACCAATAACTTTGAGATTATCCTCCGTCTTCAGCCTGATCACCTGCATCCTAAAATACAGATTCTTCAAAACCTCCTCGATCTTCCCCCACACCCCCAGCACCGACCCTGCCAGCACATAATACGTCCTCCTCGTCATCCCCACCTCGCAATGGAACCCCACCTTCCTCGTCGCGCAACTCCCCTTCCAATACTCGTGAGCACACGTATTCAAAAACGCATCAAACATGTTTTTCCAGATAACCTCAGCCTCTTCAACCCCCACCTTCCTATTCATCATCTCCAGGTCCGCCAACCTCTCCTTCTTGAACTGCAACCCCGTGTTCGGCTTGTAGACGAAGAACAGCCGGTCGCTTTTACGCTCGGTCTCTTTGGAGGCGGCGGGCTCCACCGCCACCACCAGACGCACGCTGTGGTGGTTGTTCAGCAGCGAGCGCGACACGTAGAAGGCGTAGTCGCTCTTCGCTAATTTAGCGATCTTGGCGAGGACTTGCGACCAGGAGATGCCTCTCTCGACGTGGAAGGTGTGGAGCTCGACGGGGGCGGTGCCGATGGCGTGCTTTTGCATGAACGTGACGGTGCGGATGCGCTTGACGACTTCGCCGCCGGTCCCCAGGTCCTGGATGCCGGCGTCGTAGCGGCCGAGGCGCTTCTCGCGCGAGATTATGGCGTCGAGGGTGTCGGTGAAGTAGCGGAAGAGGCGGTTTTGGAGGTCCACAGGCAGGCCGAGAATTCGGTTGAGGAACTTGGCCATGCTGACGTTCTGTTTCGGGAGATGGAACGTCAACCGTAACCCCATGTTTTCGATGTCTTTCAGTAGGCCAATTCCGACTGCCGCGTTATACACATCTTTGAAAAAGTCTCCTTGGTAGTCTGCCGGGGGAGGGACCAGGGGGAAATCGTCGCCCTTTACGGCGTTCAAAGTCAATTGTAGGGCTTCCCGCCCATATTTATTGTCAAAATTAAACTGGCTTAGGTCTCTGGTTTCGGTCGCCCGTCTGTCGCCATGGGTCAGCGCGCCCAAACTCTCCAGTCTTTTGGCCACGATCGACGCGAATCGTCTCTCTCCGGCTAAATTCGTAATCAGAAAGACGTACTCTGGAGCGTTCATCTACAAAGTAAGAAAAAGCTGAGTGGAGCGCACCACAAACGCTGCACAATTATCGCTACGTCGCTAATCTATTGTGGTGTCCCGATTTGAAAAGTTAAATTTTTGATTTATTGTTGGTAATTTACAGTACATGTTACGAGTTTCCTGTTCATGGTTCTAATACAATTTAACTACAATAATGGAAGTGTTCCCGTAAAACACAACTTTAGTAGTGATATATCTAAAGTTCTTAATGTTTTTGCCCAAGTTATTATACACAGCTCATAATTTCTCACTCCAGATTTATAATAATTCAAGAAATGTTACTTTTGAAGCTTTTTGTTGAAAATACCAACAGAACCATAATCCCACGTCGATTTTATTCACCCGTTCAACATAATAATATTTTAACATTTTTAGCACTTCGAAATTTTAGACTTTTTGGTTATCAGAAGTTTTGTAGATTCTAGATTAACCAAAATCTATAATTTTAGACTCTAAAGGTTCTAGAGATTTTAGAAATTTGCGAAATTTTATGCATTGTGTAAATATTAAAGGTGCTAAATATTCTATAAATTGTAGAGATTTTATTGAATTCAGAACTTTAGACAGATAAAAAAATCGATCATTTTTTGAGTGGTTGAAAGGATTCTGGAAATTTTAGAAAATGTTGAATTTTAGAGATCCCGAACAATCTAGGATTTCACCGTTTTTAAGAATTTTACATATCATACATTGTAGAAAATTGGAATTTCAATTTATTTCAAAATTAACACAAAAGGAGTTCGGAAGGCTCTTTTAAATACTAAAAGAAATGATACTAGAGGGCTCCGATATTGCTTTAAACTGTTCATGAAATCTCAGACTTTTTAAAAATTCTATAGTTCTATCAATTTTACACGTTCTTAACATGCTGAAGAATTTGTAAATATTCTACAAATTCTAGATATTCTAGAGATCTTTCAAACCTGAGATACTGTTACGTATTCGAGTTTCTAGAAATTTTAGAGATACCAAAGATTTTATACATTTACAAAATTTTGAAGTTTCAATACGGACTACACACAATTTTTTTTTAATATTTTTAACATTTTTAGCAATAGATACTTCAGACATTTTGCACTTTTTAGATATTAGAAGTTTTGTAAATTCTAGCTTAAACAAAATCTATAATTTTAGACTGTAAAGGTTCCGGAGATTTTAGAAAAACATGAATTTTAGAGATTATGATCAATTGATCAATCTAGGATTTAACTGCTTTTAAGGATTTGATGTCATAGACTGTACAAATTTGAGCGAAAGAGAGAGAGATCTCAAAAACTAAAAAATTTTAAATTAAAAAATTGGAAAAATTGAAAAATCGAGAAATCCAAAAATCGATCAAATGAAATATCTCAAATTTAAAAATTGAAACATCGAAAATTCGGGAAATCCAAAAGTCGAGATATCGAAAAATTAAAAATTTGAAAAATCGAAAAATTCAGAAGTTGATAAGGGAAAATAAAACACTAAAAAATAGAGAAATAAAAAGTCGAAAAATCAAAACTTGCTTGAATTGAGAAATAGAAAAATCGAAAATTCAAAACATTTTATAAATTGAAACACCGAAAAATTTAAAACGGAGAAGTCGTGAAATCGAAAATGAACAACTGAAATACATTTCTACAATTTAAAAATTACAAAACTGAAATATCGAAAAATTAAACTTCGAAAAAAATTTAAAGAATCAAAAAATTCAAACATCCCAAAACTGAAACATGGAGAAATAGAAAAATTGAAAAGATGAAAAACTGGCAATTTAAAAAATCGAAAAATTCGAAAATCTAAATCCGAAAAATAGAAAGAAGTAGTCGAAACATCAAAAAAAAAAAAAATCGAAAAATTCAAATATCGAAAAATTGAAAAATTCCCAAAATTTAAATGTTAAACAGTTGGAAAATGCAAAACTTGAAAAATCGAGAAATTTAGAAATTGAAAAGTCGAAACATCCAAGAATCTAAAATTTAAAAACCAATACGAAAAATTGGAAAATCGAAAAATCGAGAAATCGAAACATCAAAAAACTGAAAAAACTAAAATTTAAAAAATCGAAAATTTTAAGAATCAAGAAACTGAAAAATCGAAAAATCATAACATTTTAAAAACTGAAACACCGAAAAATTTAAAACGGAGAAGTCGGGAAATCGAAAATGAATAATTGAAATATCTACAATTTAAAAAATTCCAAAACCAAAATATCGAAAAAAAAATTAAAGAATAGAAAAATTCAAATATCCCAAAACTGAAACATGGGAGAAATATAAAAATTGAAAAATTTGAAAAGATGAAAAATTGGCAAATTAAAAAATCAAAAAATTCGAAAATCTAAAGCCGAAAAATAGAAGGATCGAGCAGTCCAAACAAATGTTGAACAGTTGAGAAATGCAAAACTTGAAAAATCGAGAAATCTAGAGATCGAAAAGTCGATAAATTTAAACATCGAAAAACCGATTTGTCAAGAAATCGAATAAAAATATCGTAAAATCAAAAAATGGAAACATCCAACAATGTAAAATTTAAAATGTCGGAAATATTTAAAAACCAATACAAAAAATTGGAAAACCGAAAAATCGAGAAATCGAAACAACAAAAACTGAAAAAAACTAAAATTTAAAAATTAAAAAAAAAGAAAAAGAAAAATCCGAATGGAAGTCCAAACATCAAAAATCGAAAAATTGAAATATCTGAAATTTAAAAATCTAAAAATTCGAGAAATACAGAAGTTGAAAAATCGAAAAATCAAACATTTTCAAAACTGAAAAATCTACAGTTTAAAAATTCCAAAACTGAAACATCGAAAAGTTGAAACATGAAGAAACAAAAAAATTGAAAAACCGAAACCTGATAATCGAAAAATTGAAAAAAGGAAAAACTGAAAAATCGAAGAGTCGAAAAATCCAGAAAACGAAAAATCGAAAAGTCCAAAAACCAAAAATCGATTAATCGAGAAAATGAAAAAAATTGAGAATTTAAAAAATCTAAAACCTGTGAAAAATTGAAGAATTGAAAAATCGAGAAATCCAAACATCAAAAAATCGATCAAATGAAATACTCCATCTGAAATTTAAAAACTGAAAAATGGAAAAAGTAAAAACTCGAGGAACCGAAAAATCACAAAGTCGATTATTCAAAAAGTGAGAAAAATCGAAAATTTAAAAAACTGAAAAATTAAAAATTTGAAAAATCGAGAAGTTGAGAAGTCGGGAGAACGAAACACTAAAAAATCCAGAAATGGGAAAATCAAATAATCAAAAAATTGAAACATCGAGAAATAAAAAGTTGACAAATCAAAAAATCCGTTAATCGAGAAATTGAAAAATGGAAATTTAGAAACGTCAAAAATTAAAGAATCGAGAAACTGAAAAATCGAAAAATCAAACATTTTAAAAACCAAAACTTAAAAACCGAAAAATTTAAATCGGAGATGACGAAAAATCGACAATGAACAATTGAAAAATCAGTTTAAAAATTCCAAAACTGAAACATCGAAGAATTGAAAAATCAAAGAAAAATTGAAGAATCGAAAAATTCAAATATCCCAAAATTGAAACACGGAGAAACAGAAAAATTGAAAAACCAAAACCTGATAAAAGAAAAATTGAAAAAAGGAAAAACTGAAAAATCGAAGAGTCGAGGAATCCAAAAGACGAGAAATCGAAAAGTTCAAAAATTAAAAATCGATTAATCGAGAAAGTGAGAAAAATCGACAATTTAAAAAATCTAAAACCTGAAAAAGTGAAGAATTCAAAAATCGAGAAATCCAAACATCAAAAAATCAATCGAATGAAATATCTGAAATTTCAAAACTGAAAAATGGAAAAAGTAAAAACTCGAGAAAACGAAATTTTGAAAAAACGAAGAAAAATTGAGATGAGTAGAAAAACTGAAAAACGGAAAAGTCGAGAAATCGAATAATCAAAAAGTGAGAAAAATCGAAAATTTAAGAAATCGAAAAATTGAAAAATCGAGAAGGTGAGAAGTCGGGAGAACGAAACACTAAAAAATCGACAAATGGGAAAATCAAATAATCAAAAAATTGAAATATCGAGAAATAAAAAGTTGAAAAATAAAAAAATCGGTTAATCGAGAAATTGAGAAATGGAAAAATCGAAAAAATGAAAAAATCGAAAATTTGAAGAATCGAGTACCTGAAAAAACGAAAAATCACAACATTTTAAAAACTGAAACACCGAAAAATTTAAAACGGAGAAGTCGAGAAATCGAAAATGAACAATTGAAATATCTACAATTTAAAAATTCCAAAACCGAAATATCGAAAAATTAAAAATCGAAAAAAAATAATTAAAGAACAGAAAATTTCGAAAATCTAAAGCTGAAAAATAGACAGATCGAGCAGTCGAAACAAATGTTGAACAGTTGAGAAATGCAAAACTTGAAAAATCGAGAAATCTAGAGATCGAAAAGTCGACATATTTTAAAAATCGAAAAGCGATTTGTCAAGAAATCGACTTAAAATATCGTAAAATCAAAAAATGGAAACATCCAAGAATGTAAAATTTTAAAACGTAGAAAAATTTAAAAACCAATACGAAAAATTGGAAAATCGAAAAATCGAGAAATCGAAACATCAAATCACTTGAAAAAATAGAATTAAAAAAAAATTGAAAAACTCAAAAATCGAAATATCTGAAATTTGAAAATAGAAAATTAGAGAAATCCATAAGTGGAGAAATCGAAATATTAAAAACTCGATTGAGAAAGTGAGAAAAATCGAAAATTTAAAAAATGGAAAAATAAAAAAATGAAAATTCGAAAAATTGGAAAGTTGAAAAATCGAAAAATTGAGAAGTTGAGAGAACGAAACACTGAAAAGTCGAGAAATCTAAAAGTGAAAAAATCAAAAAATCGGTTATCGAGAAATTGAGCAATGGGAAAATCGGAAATTTAGAAACGTCAAAAATTGAAGAATCGAGAAACTGAAAAATCGAAAAATCAAACATTTTAAAAATTGAAAAATCAGA